ATTAACTAGAATCTATTCCTTCCTTCCTCCTGGGCTCACAACTCCACTACATTTCACAACCTCCCTTGCAGTTAGGTGTATCATGTGATGAGATTTTTTGCCACTGGAATTTGAGCATTAGTATTGTCTACCACTTCCATGCCTGGTCTTTAAAAATGTTTCACGTGTACATCATCGTGATCTTTCCCCTTCTGGCAGGCTGTTTGATGATATGAAAACCATGTGTTAAAGATGGCAGAGCTGCCATCAGCTTTGTTCCTTAAATAACTGCATGGGAAGTAGCTGCCTGCCTGTCTTTGAAAACTGCCCTAAAAATGATGTAAGTGAGAAATAAACTTTATTTTTGAGTCATTACAAGTTAAGGTTTATTTTTATAGCAGGTTAGCCTATGCTAATGATTACAATAGCCATTTTTCCTCTCCCAAGTCTTAATGGGAAAAATGGCTCTCTGCTGTCCTGTCCCAGGGAATCCCTCTACCTGAACTCTGGACTCCAGCCCCACCCCAAGCCCTGTTTCATCAATTATTTACTCTCTCCTCTAGGTCTCAACTTATCCTCTCCTGGCTCTTTTCCCTCAGCACACAGATATGCTCATATCTCTTCTAACAACTATACAAAAAAAATCTTACATTACATGATCTGATATCCTCCTTGTCTAGAATTTTCTTTTCTCCTTCCTTTCATGCTCAAGGCTTTTTTCATCCTACTCTGTACCCCACTCACTCTATGACCTGGTCTCTGTCCCCACCACTGTTGTGAAACTGCTCCAGATTGGGCCCCAGTGACCTAACAGGCTATGGTCATATTTCATGTCTTATCTAACTTGGCATCTTGGCATAGAAAGCTGTTCCTCCTCCTTCCTTAGTGATCTGTGACACTGAGCTCAGTGGTGCTCCTCTTCCCCTCCAGCTGCTCCTTCTAAGTCTCCCTGACAGCTTACTTTTCCTCTGTCTTTGGTAAATGTGGATTCACCTTCTATTCTACCCTTATTTCTTCCCATTGCCTGTATATCTCTTTCTAAACAATTTTGTTATTGCCTGTGGTTTAAATGACCATTATTTATAGATGCTAATGCCTTGAGCCTTGAACCTATATTACCAACTGCTTTCTAGATATTTCTATCTTTATGGCCCATAGGCACCTCAAACTTAATATGTCCAAACTGAATTGATCATCTTTCCCATTTCCAATAATGACTACTTTTATATTTTCTACTGAGGCAGATGGTAACAATTGCCCATGGGTAACAGTCATCCAGTAACCCTCTGAGCTGACTTCCTTCACTATCCATTCATACCACTACCCTCTTCCAGAAGCTTAATTTGTATGCCTCGACCTGCCAACCCTCAACCTGGAACAGTCCAGTGCCTGCCCTCCCTGTCTCTAACCCCCAAGTGTATACTGTTCCTTAATGGAGAAAATCACACAGTGGTTGGTCGGGTGGTACTATATCCAGGCACTCAAGCAAGACACACGGGAGGAAGCCAACCTGGTCTCTCATCCCCAGACTACTCTGGCTCCAAATCCTATTACATGTATCCACTGAACACCTCTCCAATACATCTGTTCGTCTCCCTTTCTTGCCCACTGCTGAACTCTGACCTTTTTCATCACTTTCTTAGATCATCTCAGTAATTTCTGGACTATTCTTCCTGTGGGCAGCCTCACCTTCCTCCTCCAGCCTAAAGATTTGATATTGTCTCTTTCTTTGTTGATATTCATTTATGGGATTTTTTTTCTTTAGTGTCTTTTTCAAACTAAAAAGTAATATATTCTCATTGTAAAATAGTTTATAAGGCTATTTAAAAAAATTAAAGTCACCCCATATCCAGTCCTTAAATTTTACCCCCAAATACATATACACATAGTTTTTTTCTAAAAATAGGATCTTATTACACATGCCATATTTCTCTATGCCGTATTCTATTTTAGGAGGAACTTTTTTTTTCATATTTTAACGTCTCTAAAATCACAATGTATCATACAATCAATGGTTCTTAGGTTTGGTTACATACAGCATTGTTATACAATGTACTCTTTTTACTTATTAATATTAGTCATGATTCCAAACCAACACTTACTTCCAGGAGATCTTTCTAAAGCACAAATCCGGTAAGGTTGCTACCCTTGGGAAAATTCTTCCAAGCCACCCATGCCCCCAAAGCCCTTCATCTTCTGAATCCCATCTACTTTTTCCCTTTCCGACACATCCACACACATTGCCTTCCAAACAGGCCAAGTAGATCTATTGGCAGTTCATTCCCCAAATAGCGTTGGTAGACCAGATCTTTGGCTTTGCACCAATGTTTTTTCTGCCTTAAAGCCTATTCTTACCTTTTTACTCAAAGTTAGCTCTTTGCTTTTTTTTTTTTTTTTTTTTTTTTTTTTGAAATAGCGTCTGGCTCTGTTGCCCAGGCTGGAGGTGTAGTGGCGCGATCTCGGCTCACTGCAAGCTCTGCCTCCCGAGTTCACGCTATTCTCCTGCCTCAGGCTCCCGGGTAGCTGGGACTACAGGGGTCCGCCACCACGCCCGGCTAATTTTTTGTATTTTTGGTAGAGACGGAGTTTCACTGTTAGCCAGGATGGTCTCAGTCTCCTGACCTCGTGATCCGCCCACCTCGGCCTCCCGAAGTGCTGGGATTGCAGCTGTGAGCCACCGCGCCTAGCCCCAGAGTTAGCTCTTACTGGAAAATTGTCCTGATCCCCCAAACTGAGCCTGAGTTCTTCCTTTATGCACCTCCTCTCAACGTCTCCAGTATGTGGTACATGTCTCTGTTAAATCACTTAGCACTCAGGTTCATGCCATTTCTCTTGTTGCTGCTACTAAATAGAAAGAAATAGTGAGTTCTCAAATACACTTTCTTCTTTATACCCATTTCCAACAGTGTCGGGATAATGTAGGAGCTTCATAAATATTTTTGGAAATAATGAACTGTATATGTGGGAGGCAGGAAAATGCTCCCTGAGATAACATAAAGAGGTTTCTAATTAACCATCCCTTTATCCTGCAACAAGAGAAAGAGGAGAAGGTCTGGACACCAAAGTACCCGGGAATGCAGAAATCTAAGTCAATCAGATTTTTTTTTTCTTATTGACTCCAATCCTATTAATTCCACCCTCAACTAAAAATAATCTGATTTCAACAACCATATGCTTTGTAATCTCCCCTCACCTGGACCTCCACTTCCTTTCACTCTAGTCTTTCTACGTCCTTTGAGTCAAAACCTCAGTCCACATTATGGCTTTCTTTTGCAGCTGGCCCCTTATTTTGTAACCAGATGTTTTAAAAAGTGGCAAAGACAGATGTTTTCCACTTGCCATTCTAAAATACCCACTTAAGTCTTCCATTTGGTCTTCCTTCTGCCTTAGGCATGGACTCACCTTAACCTCAGTCCCAACAAGACTCTATACCAGCAAATAAATTCAAAAGAAAACTGAAGTTTAATACAAAACCTTAATTTTAATAACTATCCTAAAGGCTTGATGTTATGTAGAGACATCAGTGGAAACCACTATCCCTCTCTCAACCCAGTATTGGGTTTGGATCCTAGAAAATACCAAAAATAGACAAAAATGTTTCCAGTTCTTTTTTTCTGACCTAGATAATTTAAAGCCAAAGATTCATTCCTGGAGAAGTACTAGGGTATTTTGGGGGATTTAAAATCAAGCTCAGTTAATGTGGTCTATAGGGTGGTCGCTAAGATTGGTCCATGCCAAAACATGTCTTTGTCAACAATTGTAGGGCCAACACACATACTTTCAATACTCTCTCTTGGTGAGAAGAATAGGAGCTATGAATAATCAGAAATAGAAGAGCAAAAGGAAAAGTGAAAAGATGAAAAGAGTCCATGAAAAAAGAGAGGCAAATTACAGGGAAGGAGAAAATCAAGGTTTTTGAATGGGAAATACAGTGGACATAAGAGGATCTGAGAAATAGACATATTTCCTGTCAGTAGAGGCTGAAGGTAAACAAGGATGTCTTGTAACAGAAAGAAATGGGAAGGCCAAGTTAAAGAAAAGAATGAAAGAAGGCTTGGAACTAAAACAGATAAAGAGATAATGACAGTGAAAACTATCTCAGGCATGTCAACAGGACTGATAAGAAATACTGAGGGACATCCAGGATCTCACATCAAAGACAAAAGGGTCAACATGTAGAGAGAGAAAAAGGAAGAGGGATCCCAGCTGTTAGGGGGAAAAGGTGCTGTTAAAGACAGCTCTAGTCTGCATTTTGAACCTTACATTCTGAAAGGAAGGACTTCACCAAGCCAACACAAAACACTACAAATCTCTGCTGTTCACAAATTTTAGAGTAAATAAAAGCAAACTAATGCTACACATCAAATACCTTAACTGGCGAGACATAATTCCTAGTTTATTTGAGCCGCCGGGGGCAAGAAGCTATCAAAGTGATTTTATTTTTCCAGCACCTTAATGTGAGACAAGTATGAAGGAAAGACAAGTATGAAGGGAAAAGGCCCAAACCAGTATTGGCCAGCAGTAATTTTCAGAGTGATTTCTTTTTTCAGTATAGACTTGGATGTATTTGGACCCCTTGGAGGGGGCGCCGGAGAAGCGGCCCAGAAAGTATTTCCATCTTAAGAAAAATTTAGTTTGGATGCAAAGTGAGTTTTGCGGACCTCAATACAGCCTCGAGAAATCTGAAATACTCCTCTACAGCGTTAATAAAGAAATATAAGTCAAATTGCCTGTTAACTTGCAGCTTCTTCTCCCCCTTCGGCTTCAGCCTGAACTCATCAAAGCCCCGGAGGACAGGAACGGACCTTCTATCGCTTTTGTTTCCTGCGTGGCGGAGACTTAGAAGAACGGCCGATCGCCTACCTGCCTTCCACTTCCCCGGCCGCAGAGCGGTTTGCTGCCGGCTGGGTTCGCCGCCAACCTCACCTACCGGTAGTCTCTCCGGTCTGACTCTTCTGGGATGGGTGGCGGGGGGTGGGGGAGACCTCAGGGGGCGGAGGGACACGAGGAGGCGGGCCTGGCCCTTCCCCCAGAGCCAGGGAGGAGGCGCAGCCAGGACGCAGGTGAAACCGACTCGGCCCTATCCCGGGAACTTTCGCGGTGGGGACTCGTTGCGAGAGGCTAGAGACGCGCAGGTGCGGCCTGGGAGCCGCCCTCTCTCACTGAGACTGCCGCGGGGACTCAGCCCTGGGGCCACCCGCAGGGGACCCACGGACCTCCTGGCGCGCTCACTGGCTGTGGGCAGCGCTGGCCTCCGCTGCTGATGGGGGCGGCTAGTGCCGCCCCGGGCGCAGGTGACACTCTCCCGGCCAGGGTTTCCTCTGGCTGGGGAGAGCCCCGGGAGGGCGAGACGCAGACACCTCAGGGGCGCAGGACAAGGCAGCGATGGCCCGAGAGCTGAGCCAGGAGGCACTACTGGACTTTCTGTGCCAGGCTGGGGGCCGCGTGACCAACGCTGCCTTGCTGAGCCACTTCAAGAGCTTTCTCCGAGACCCTGACGCGTCCCCCAGCCAGCACCAGCACCGCCGCGAGCTCTTCAAGGGCTTCGTCAACTCGGTCGCCGCAGTGCGCCAGGACCCCGACGGCACCAAGTACGTGGTGCTCAAGAGGAGGTACAGGGACCTTTTAGGGGAGGAGGGGCTGCAGCGACCCCGCGAGCCGCCCGCGGCCCCCCACAGTGCAGGGGGAGCTGCGCCCTGCTCCCCGCGAGGCGCGCGCGGGGGGCAGTCGCCCCAGCAGCAGCCCAGGCGGCGGCGGCGCGAGGAGGAGCCGGAGGAGGAGCCAGCAGGTGCAGCAGCCAGAGCCGCCGACGCAGCTTGCAATGGACTCCCGGTCAGCGGCTCCAGCGCAGCACCCGGGAAGGGCGGCGGATCGAAGGGCAGTCCCGGACAGAGGGCGCCGGTGCCCGCAACTGCAGCGGCAGGGGCCCAGGCGGGAGCGAGGTGCGCGGCGGCGGAGACACAGGGCCGCTGCTGCTGGGAATGCCTCCAGAACAACCTGGCGGGGCTCCCGGGAGAGCTCGGCGCACTCCCGGACTCCGCCACCGCAGAGGAGAAGCCTGCACGGGCTCTGCCTGCCCAGGATAGCCGCGGGGCTTCCAGGGAGCCGGAAGAAGGCGCGCTGGCTGAGCCCGCGCCTGTGCCTGCAACGCATCGCTCGCCTCTCGCCACCGTCGAGGCTGCGACGAGCAGGGCTTCCCCGCCTGCTCTCCTGCCCGGCCCCGCCCCACGCGGAGACCGGCCGGAGCTGCTGACCCCCAGCTCTCTGCATTATTCGACCCTGCAGCAGCAGCAGCAGCGCACTCGGGAGTGGGTGGCCAGGCACCCGCAGGTGCCGGAGGCCCGTGATCAGGGCCCTGTCCGCGCCTGGTCGGTGCTGCCAGACAACTTCCTCCAGCTGTCCTTGGAACCTGGCTCCATGGAACCTAACTCAGAGCCGCCAGACCCCCGCCTTTCCTCGCACTCTCTCTTTCCTGTTGTTCCGGATGAGCCCTGGGAATCCTGGGCGGGGAACCCTTCATTGACTGTCTTTCGCAGCATTCGTTGTCAGCTGTCCCTCCAAGATCTGGATGACTTTGTGGACCAGGAGAGTCATGGCAGTGAGGAGAGCAGCAGCGGGCCCAAAGACTCACCAGGGGCTTCTGAAGAGGGGCTGCAGGTTGTCTTGGGAACCCCAGTTCGGGGGAAGCTCAGGAATCCAGCTGGGGGCCTTTCTGTATCTCGGAAGGAAGGCAGCCCCAGTTGGAGCCCTCAGGATCTCAGAAACAGAGGAGATGGTCACATCTCTCAGCAGGTCCCTGCAGGGGCTAATGGCCTTGCAGGTCACCCCCGGGAGCCTTCGCCTTGGCCAGTTCCTAAGTTAAGGAGGTCCCTCAGGAGGAGCTCTCTGGCAGGGAGAGCCAAATTATCCTCCTCTGATGAGGAGTACCTTGATGAGGGCTTGCTGAAAAGAAGTCGGCGCCCACCTCGATCCAGGAAGCCCTCCAAGGCAGGAACAGCACCCAGCGCAAGGGTTGATGCAGCTTTATCACCAAAACTTGCAGAGGTTAAGGCTGTTGTGGCTGAGCGGGGTTGGCGGCACAGCTTGTGGGCCCCCAGTGGGGAGGGGCCTGCAGCCTGGGCCCCCCACAGAACTTCTGAGCACAAATCATCCCTGGTTCCCCTAGATGCCAGGGAGCATGAGTGGATTGTGAAGCTTGCCAGTGGCTCCTGGATTCGGGTGTGGACTTTGTTCTGGGAGGACCCTCAACTGGCCTTGCACAAAGACTTTCTGACTGGGTACACAGCTTTGCACTGGATAGCCAAACATGGGGACCTCAGGGCTCTTCAGGATTTGGTCTCTGGAGCAAAGAAGGCAGGGATTGTCCTTGATGTAAACGTGAAGTCCAGTTGTGGATATACCCCGCTGCATCTTGCAGCCATTCACGGCCACCAGGGGGTCATCAAATTGCTAGTGCAAAAGTTGGCTTCTCGGGTAAATGTCAGGGACAGCAGTGGGAAGAAGCCATGGCAGTATCTAACCAGTAATACCTCTGGGGAAATATGGCAGCTGTTGGGAGCCCCTCGGGGCAAGCCCATTTTCCCTGTCTATCCCTTGGTTGGAAGTTCTTCCCCAACCAGAAAGGCCAAGAGCAAGGAAATATCTAGAAGTGTCACCCGAAAGACTTCCTTCGCTGCCCTACTCAAAAGTCAGCACAACAAGTGGAAACTGGCCAACCAGTATGAGAAATTCCCCAGTCCAAGGGAAAGAGAAGAGTACAGTGACTGAGGTGGGTCTCTCTGTCCAACACACAGGCAGCACACCCTCACCCTACTCAGTGAGAGAATTCGGGGGAATAGAAAAGCTGCTGAGAGTTGGTAAAGAGGATGGTCAAGTGGGATGGCATTGACCTCCCTGGATCTTATGTCACTACATCCTGGACCTCAAGAGGGCCATCCAAGCTTTTTGAAAGCTGAAGGTCCTTGATGGGAGAAACCTAGATAAGGGGCAGGGCCAGGTGCTTGATATCTAGGAGGCATTCTTACTTTTCCCTTGCCACCATGGATCTGGGCACAGTAAGCCATATTGTTTCCCGAAGCAGGAGTCCCAGGCCTTGGCTAGAGAAGGAACAGATGTCTAACAAAAAGAGAAGCAATTCGAGGAATTGATGAAGCACATGCAAAATCCTCTCTGGCTAGCTCTCTGGCTTCTGTTCATTTGAAGAATAAATCTTGGCTGACAGTGGGAAGCACCAGGTTTGAAATCAGATGGCTTTATTTTTCTTTTTTTTTTGGCATTTAAATCAGTGAAATAAAATTATTACTGGAGAGTAGAGTTCGATTTGAGAGATTCCTCAGCCCTGTTCCCAAGTCTTCTTTGGAATTCCTTGCATGGTGGTTAATGGGTAAAATGATTAATGCCTCCTTTGGGTCTTCTCACTGATCAAAGAAGCTGGGTAAGATCCAGTTATGACTTGGACTCCATTCCCAAGAGGAATGACTGTCATTCAGGCCCTGCTTTTTTGTATCAACCCAAAGGGAACTTTCCAAATGTAAAAACCATGTGGCTCATTTGCATAGTGACTGAAACCATCTTTCATGGAAACTCCCTGTGTAACAAACAGAATTATCATTACTAGTTTTCAGTAGGTTTGAATGGCCAACGTTTGTACTCATAGAAAGAGAGAAATGACTTCACTCTGGGGAAACAGTAAGGGTTAAGAGAATACATCCTTACCAGGACTATCTAAGCTGCTAAATATAATTTTATTTGCACTAAACTTGTTGCCAATGAAGATTAAATATTAGCCTTTAAGTACTCTATACCTAACATGAAGTGCTCCTTTTTAATTGCTTTTGAAGGGACTAATAACTTGTGAGTTCATGGAGTGAGAGAATGGCTAGTCTATAAACATCAGTAGAACATCAAGATTTCAGAATAAGTTCAAAGAGGGCTGAAATACATGTTCAAGTGGAAATTGTTAATTTTTTATGGGAATGTTTTCATGAGATGTGGCAATGATGCTGTATTTTAAGTCTTTTTGTGTTTCTTCTGGTTATTTTCCCCCATTAAAAGATCAATAGATCTTCATAATTTATTGTACTTATGCTGATTACTGTTTCCTTCTTTACAAAATTGTGTCTCAGCGAATGCCAAATATTGTTTCTTTGATTTTTTACTTTATGATTTTGCTGAAATAAATATATCTCTTCTACTAGAAAAATAAGCATAATAAATAAATCTAAGAGCTTTTTTCCCAAAAGACCTATATAAGCCATGAAACTTTGTCAAATCAAAGCAAGAAAAATGGTAACCACAGATGGGACACAGTTTGAAGAGATGAAAATTTGAAAGAATAAATGATAGACAACTATGCAAATACTCTAGTAAACTAGTAAACATTGTAAACTACTAGTAAGCTAGTGATATTTCAAGGAAAAAATGTCAACTTTTTAAAAAATCCAATGACTGTTTTTACTTTAGCATATTGTTATTACTACATCAATTTATTCAACAGATGTGTTTTGTGTAGTGCTGTGGGATTTATAAAGGTGAGTGGGAGATGACCCCTCCCATCTTGAAATTTAAAATCTAACAATATTTATTATTGATTGTGTTATAACCTAGCCTTTTTTTTTTTTTGAGACAGAGTCTCAAAAAAAGTTGAGGCTGAAAGTTGCCCATACTGAAAAGCAGTGATGTGATCCCCGCTCACTGCAACCTTTGCCTCCCAGGTTCAAGCAATTCTTCTGCCTCGGCCTCCCATGTAGCTGGGATTACAGGCAACCACCACCGCTCCTGGGTAATTTTTGTATTTTTGGTAGAGATGGGGTTTCACCATATTGGCCAGGCTGGTCTCGAACTCCTGACCTTAAGTGATAAGTTGTATGTTTCAATATTCCCAAAGTGCTGGGATTACAAGCGTGAGCCACTGTGCCTGACCTGTACCTATCTTGCTCCCATGGTGTCTTTTAAAGCTGCATTATATCAGAAAACAAGCTTGTAAAATGAGGCAAAGAGAAAAGAAAGATAGTATCAGAAATGAGGACAAACAGCAGCAATGCAAGAAAAAATTTTCGCAGTGTCATAAGTACAAAATACATGCTCTAGAGAGAGCACTTGTTTCAGGAGAGAGAGAGGGAGAGGGAAAGGGAGAGGGAGAGGGAGAGAAAGAGAAAGAAACAGAGAGAGAGAAGGAGAAACAGAGAGAGAAAAAAAACAGAGAGAGAAAGAGAGTGAGAGAGAGAGAGAGAGATCCTTTTGGGCTGGGAAAATCAGGTAGGGCTTCATAGAGGCCAGGAATCTTTTAATTGAATGATACTAACTTTCCCAAGAAACCAGCTGTGTTAGTTCTACCACATTCTTGACTTCTGCTTCAGTGTGTGATTTACATAGCACTAGTGTGGCTGATTGTTCACTGGTTAGAACACAATCCTAAGTCTCAAGTTGATTCTTATGATGATTCATCATGTCCCTCATACCTGCCTCTGATCAACTCTTTTACATGGTCAATATGGTATGTTGGGGAGGAGTCAGGGGAGAAGAGGGTGTAGAGAGGTGATTAAAACACAGATCTGATCCTGACACCCTCTTACTCATGTTGTAAAGTCCAGGCCAGGAGGGCTGCCAGGACTAGCATACTTTCCCAGCTTTCTGCCAGCCACTCCCTGCCATGAACCCCAAACTTAAGCTACATCAGACCTATTGGGATGCTGGTGGCCCTGAACTCTCAGTTTCTGTCTTGTGCTGAATTTCTTTTACTTAGAAAACCCTTTTTGCTATTTTCCTGGTAACCTTATTCCTCAAAGGGTAGTTCAAATGTCATAGCCTATATGAAGATTCTAGGACAAACACCTCCAAGGTGGAAGCTGTATAGCTCCTTCATCAGAATTCTTAAAATACTGTGTACATACCTCATTTACAATTTTTGCCACATAGTATTCAAGTAAATTGTATGTCTCAATATTCCCGAAGATTTTGGACATCTGGAGATTAGTGAATATGTTTTCAATTCATCTAGATTTCCAGATATTTATGGAGCATCTACTGTGTGATAAAGACACAATTCCTGCCTTCAAGAGCTCACAGTCTACTGGGGAAGGAGATGTAAGGGTTGGGTCACTGAAAATTGCTTCTAGCACAGTGAGGTAAGTGCACAGATATGTGTGTGTGTGAAGACTCTGGGAATTCAGAGAAGGGGACGTTTATGAAGCATTTCACATGTGCCAGTCTCTTTGGTTATGCTGGAAATACATTTAGTAGAATATACCTATTTCCTGCTCTGATGATGCTTTTCTGGATTGGGGAAGTCAGGAGGCAAAAAGGAAGTTAGATAAGCTTTGAAGGGTGAAGTGGAGAAAGAGTTCTGGAAGAATATCCCAGGAGAGGGAAGGGACATGACCAAAACCACAGAGTGGTTTGAGGATACTGAGCCACATACTGTGGCAGAAGTGAGGCAGTGCAGCAAGAAATGAAGCTGGAAAAGTCATTTAGGACTAGGTTGAAAAAAGGGTCTTTTTGACCTCAGGAAATACAGGCATTTTCTAGGAAACCAAGGATTGTGAAAACTCCTCCCAGAAAAGCTTAGTGTTATTCCAAATCAAGACGTTTTCCTGAAGTCTTAATTTGAAGACAAAATATATATCAACGTATTAGATTAAATGTGCTTAAAGTTTCTCTTTCAAAATTTTCTTAGGTCTTCAGTGTGGTTAATGCTTATTTGCTAGCACATAGTGGTAAGCAACAAAGTAAGTTAACAAATGGCAATTTCATTTTAAAAGCAAGCGTTAGAAATTGTTGATAAGCTTAGCTCAACACTTTTTTTTTTCATTTTAGCAGTTGTATGAAAGCTTATATATAGATTCATTTATTCCTGTATCTTCTCAATTGTTTCTTTCTTGTATTTGCCCTTTTTCTTTCCTACTTGGCAAGATTTGACTTTCTGTTCATGGATTTTTTTTATGGTCTTTGTCTACTTTTAGCCTAGTGATAATCACTTTTCTGGGGTGAATGCCTACAGGGACAGTTGTACCATTAGCCTTTTGCTGCTGCACTCATTCAGTGTAGATGACATCTTTCTTCCTGTAAACCTTGAGTACGTTGCCAATTTGCTGACCTTTATAATGTCCTTGCACAGTCTGAACTTCATCATCCTTCCGGATGGTCATGGATCAAACATCATACTTCTGTCTTAGCTCTTTTGAAAGAGGGGAAGACATAATCTTCTTGCAAATGTAGGAAAGTGCATTGAAATGCCTTTTGCAGTTCTTGCTTCAGTTAGAAGTCACGAAAGCACTGAATTTCACTTTGGCCACTCTCGCTTCAGTGATGGATGCAAAAGTTGCTCAACACTTTTTGTTGTAGTCATAAAGTAGTGAATTTTAATGTAATAAATGTACTGTAAATATTAAGTATATATACTGTAGTCTTATTTTGTGATAGTAAAATTGCTTATAGTTCAACATTTCAGTGTGTTACACATAGCATGCTGTGAATTCCAGATGCCTTGATTCCTCTATACAGTTTTGGGTTTTTTGAGGCAGGGTCTTGGTAACCCAGGCTAGACTGCAGTGTTGCCATCATAGCTCACCGTAACTTCAAAGTCGTGGGCTCAAGAGATCCTCACACCTCAGCCTCTCTAGTAGCTGGGACTATAGGTATACACCATCAGACTCAGCTTTTTTTTTTTTTTTTTTTTTTAGGGACAAGGTCTCTTTGTTACCCAGGCTATGTTGCCCAGGCTGGGTCTCAAACTCCTGGTCTCAGCTTCGCAAAGCACTGAGATTACATGTGTGAGCCACCACACCTGGCACCTGTACATCTTTTTTGTTGTTGTTGAGACATGGTGTCCCGCCGCCACCCAGGCTGGAGTGCAGTGACGCAATCTCAACTCACTGCAGTCTTGACCTCCCAGACTCAAGCCATCCTCCCACCTCAGCTTCTGGAGTAGCTGGAACTATAGGCACACACCGCTGCACCCAGCTAATTTTTTTATTTTTTTGTAGAGATGAAGTCTCACTATGTTGCCCAAGCTGGTCATGAACCCCTGAGCTTAAACAATCCTCCAGCCTCAGCTTCCCAAAGTGCTGGGACGACAGATATGAGCCATCATGTCCAGCTCCCCCTATACATTTTTAAAAAGTAACTTTACACATATAATACAATTCACCTATTTTAAACGTACAATTCAATGATTTTTAGTATAATCACACTTATGCAACTATCACCACATTAAGTTCCTGTATAAATCTGAGAGCCCCTGATCCAGGCAACAGGAAGCCATTGAAGGTTTAATGCAGGAGAGTGACATATAAGCTGGGGTGAAACAAAGATTCTTCTTGCTGCAGTAAAGAAGATAAACTAGAAGCAGAGATCAGTGAAACTATTGTATTATCTTAGTTTCATATTGGGAACATCAGGAATGTTGACTCAATAAGGTGTTATCCATTGGATTGGATGTATACAGTGAGGAAAAAAAACTTTGTTGGTGGGGCTGATTTAGTTGGTAAGAATTGAGAATTAGGTAAGATGTAAAAGAGTTTCTCCATTTCCTCTCACCCTCAAAATACCCTGGTTTTGTCCATTTTTTTTTTCTTTTTTTTTGGCAAAGTCTCATTCCGTTGCCCAGGCTGGAGTGCAGTGGCATGATCTCAACTCACTGCAACCTCCACCTTCCAGGTCCAACAATTCTCATGCCTCAGCCCCCTTAGTAACTGGGATTATAAGCATGAGCCATCACGCCTGGCTAATTTTTTTTTTTTTAATTTTTTTTTTGAGACAGAGTCTTGCTCTATCGCCCAGGCTTGAGTGCAATCTTGGCTCACTGCAACCTCCACCCCCCAAGTTCAAGCTATTCCCCTGTCTCAGCCTCTGGATTAGCTGGGATTACAGGCGTGTGCCACCACATCCAACTAATTTTAGGTTTTGTTTGTTTGTTTTTGTTTTTTGTTTTTTGAGATGGAGTTTTGCTCGTTGCCCAGGCTCCCTGCAACCTACGCCTCCCAGGTTCAAGTGATTCTCCTGCCTCAGCCTTCCAAGTAGCTGGGATTACAGGCCCAGCTAATTTTTTGTATTTTTAGTAGAGACAGGGTTTCGCCATGTTGGCCAGGCTGGTCTCCAACTCCTGACCTCTGGTGATCCACCCGCCTCAACCTCCCAAAGTGCTAGGATTACAGGCGTGAGCCACCACACCCAGCCCTAATTTTAGTATTTTTAGTAGATATGGGGTTTCACCATGCTGGCCAGGCTGATCTCAAACTCCTGACCTTAGGTGATCTGCCTGCCTCGGCCTCCCAAAGTGCTGGGATTACAGGCGTGAGCCATTGTGCCCGGCCTAATTTTTGTATTTTTAGTTGAGATGGGGCTTTGCCATGTTCACCAGACTGGTTTCGAATTCTTGGCCTCAAGAGATCCGCCTGCCTCGGCCTCCTAAAGTGCTGGATTATAGGTGTGAGCCATCATGTCTGGCCTGGTTTTGTAATTAAATTATTTCATTCCTGTCATGACCATCTAAGTTCATGGTGGCACTGAATCCAGAGTGTAAATTCAATCTCTGTACAAGCTGTTTTGCATAGCAGTGCTGCTGTGTACACTTGGGTATGTCAACATCAAAACAAATTTAAAATGCTTAAGGAAAGGTTGAAAATGTAAGTACTTAAGCTCATGGCAATGAAGCTAGATTGCCTGTCTCCCGTCCTGATTTGGACAAGACTTTCAACTTCTTAGTTTTGTCATTTGTAAGATGGAAATAATACCAATAGAAAATGGGTTTTCTGAGAGGATAAAATGAATTTATACCTGAACAAAGTTCATAGAAAATGTCTGGCACATAGTAGATCCTCAGTAAACATTTGGTATTATTATTTTTAACACCATTCAAAATATACAGTCCACTTAAATTTCCATCTATGCAGAAAGCAAAGAAATCTAGTTGATTAAAAAGGTGCTGCTAAAAATTTATTGATACAGCTAAATAATTTTCATTATGCTTCCATACAAGAAAGATGTCTGGGTTTCTCACTTCAAATGAAAAAGACTATTTAACTATCTCTTGTGTGTAACAATCATTAGCTATTATGTCATTAAACAGAATTATGTCCAATTGAAGTCACATAAACTAATTTCAAACAGAATTATGTCCAATTGAAGTCACATAAACTAATTCCAGTCAAGTTAGAAGCTCTGATGTTGTCCGGAACTGAAACTCAGACAGAGCTCTGAAAGAATCAGGCTTATGGAGAGGTGAGGGGTGTGTGTGTGTGTGTGTGTGTAATGCTACTATCACTCATGAATTGGAAAAATCCAAATGGAACCATGCAGTAAACTTTATCAAATTTCTACTAAATTTGGTCACAATGAAGTCACTGAGTTGGATTAAAAAGTATTGATCTGACTACTCCTCCTTCATGATGTGAAAATAACACTTCCTGATCTCTAGCTACCAAGCTTGACTCCTATTTTCTACTTTTTTTGGGGGTGGGGTGGGGGGGGGGGGGGGGGGGGGTTGATCCTTTCATTTATTCAGACTTTACTCATCATCACATTCTGAGCCCCTTTCTGCGTCTACCTCAGCGTCCTCACACAACTCACAGGCTAGAGAGGACTTCAAAGTGTGATCACAGCACTGAGGGATCCCAAGTTAGGCAAAAGGGCCTGGGGGAGTGGTGAGGATCCAGCCGGGCCTCATAAAGAAGGTGACATCTGAACTGGGTCTCCAAGAATGAGCCACCACTTAGCCAGGGCCTCTGTTTCCATATTGAATCACTGGAATACAATTTGCTGAATTCAACAGATTGATGACCTGGGCTCAGGTTAATTAGCTTTGTTTATGTTTTACTTTTGTTTTCTCTGTCTCCCCCGCTAGGCTCTCATCCCACAAGAATGGAGACCTCTGCCTGCTTCACTCCCTGCTGTGCTTCCACGTCTGGAGCATGCAGTAGGACCTCAGTGAATGTGTCCTGGAAGAGGGAACACTGATCGGAATTTGTCCTCTGAATGTGCCCACTCACGCTGCAGTGTCAGCTCCTTGAGGACAGCAATGTCATCAGGCCTGTTGATCCCTGGAGCAGCACCTAGAAGGGTTTGGCACATGGTAGGTGCTCACTGACTGGCTGATTACAACAGGACACAGCAGCAGGCCTTGAAGCTGGGAGTGAACCCCAAATCCTACCTTCAAGCAGGAAGCCCTGCTCCTTTGTATTATGCGTGAAATGGGGCCTGTGAAGGAGGCGGCAGGAGAGGGGAAAAAATGCTGCCATGGATTCTTGTGTACACAGGAGACAGTGGCATGGGAAGACGTAAGCAGGCATATCCAGGAAATGAACAGAGGACTAAGGCTCGACCCTGAACCTGCTCTCTTAGGTGTCACACCCTCTCCCACTGGAAGCAGGTGAGCGGCTCCCAAGTTCCCTTGGAGATAGAAGCCACATGACCTCAACCTGGCCAATCAGCAGAGCCCATTCTCTTCAGCCATAGTGATTGGCTGAGGTCTGGGCATGTAACCAATCCCATGCAGAAGGTCAGATCTCCAGGTTGGAACCCTGGGTGAAGAGCAGCTTAATTTCTGTTAGGTTGCTGGAGTGGTTGGTGCCATCTTGTCACTGTGAAGGGAAAGCCCACCCAAGAATGACACCAACATAGAGGGAAGTAAGCAGAGCCAAGAGGTTGGCAGAGGTGGTTCCTGGTGCCATCATCCAGCACCCAGCTACCGACCAGGTGAAGTTGGCCTTGCACATAGTCGCTGGCACTGGAGTGACCCATAGGTCACACACAGAAGTCTGCAGAGCAACTCCAGCTGTGCTCTTTCGTTTTCACAGTTAGCAACATTTTTATAGGTAGCATTCTTGGTTAGCATTCCTAGTTAGGATTTGTAGCTAGACGTTTACCATGCGGCAGGGCCTTACGACCATCTCTGCTGATGAGGAGACCCTTACTGATCATTATAGGCTCCTCGAGATCGTCAGCCAGGACAGCTTCACCAAGGTGAATGAAGTTCACCAAGTGCCTTCTCACTGGGACCAAGGTGGCTGTGGTCATCCCAAAAGGGCAGCAGAACTCCTCCTCCCTCTAGAGTCTATTCCATGGGGTGACCCCAAGGTCATCAAGCTCTTTCCACACCACAGACACTTTGTTCTTAGCCATGGAGTATGCCAGCAGAGCAGAGCTGGTCCGCTACATGCTAGAGTTGGGTTAGGTGAAGGCGGAAGAGGCCTGAAGCAAATTCCAGCAGATAGTATCAGCCCTCTAGTACCACCAACAGAAGGGGGATATCCATAGGGACCTGAAGCCCAAGAAGTTCCTTGTGGTCCATCACAACATAAAAATAACAGCCTTTGGATTTGATACCAGGTTCGCTGTAGGCCAGAAGCTGGGCACCTTCGGTGGGAGTCCCTCTTATGCAGTCCTGAACTCTTCCATGGCCAAACATATGATGGGCCCCAGTGGACATGTGGAGCTGGAAAGTCATTCTTTATACCACGGTAACCAGGGCCTGCCATTTATTGGGCAGACTTTGTGGAGCTGAGGAAGCTGATACTGTGTGAACAATTGTACAAGATCCCACTCTTTGCTGTTCATTTCCAGAGAGCTTCATAAACCTATTTTTGACCACAGGGAGAGGCCTATACTAGACCACATCATGGAACCACCTATGGGTCAACACTGGTCAGGAGGAGACACAAAAGCCATTCCAGGAGCTGCTTTCTGATCACCAGGACTCCTGAAAGACAGAACTCATGGTGTCCGTGGGATATGAGGCAGACCACATCTAGTCCTTGTTAGAACAACAATTTGATGATACCATGGCCTGGTACTGAATCCTGGGCTACAGGAACCCTGATGCAGGGCCCCATCATCACAGTGAAGTCTTTGCCTTCAGTGGATCCTACCCAACAGCCACTAGCCTTTCCCATCACCTGAAAGAAACTCTTATGCTTTAACGTACAAAACTTAAGAACATTGGGAAAAGGTGCACAGTTCATATGTTCTTCATTTGTTCACTCTTAAGTGTCCAAAGTGTGTTGTCATTCATGCTGGTCTAAATATTGTGGGTTGACATAAAATTTGAGGTATAGTAAGGCCAACAGGTCAGGAAACAAGTATTGTACAACTGAAAAGATAATTTATTGCCCACAGTTCCCAAGAGGACAGGCACACAACATGCAGGGCCACACAGGGAAGCACCAGTGGGGGTCAGTAGGCAGAGGGATGGGGAGAGCTGTGGGCAAAAACCTTTGTTGTGCCTCCTTCTCGATTTTGCCCAGGAAAAGCTCCTTGGCAACAGCTTGGATGGGTGGACTGGTGCACAGCAGGTGCCAGCACATGGTGAAGGCCACTGAAGGCTGACAGGAATGCACCTCCCTTACAGTAGGCTGCAGGAGCCCAGTGCTTCTCATGCTACCCTGGTTGCTATGGCCACTACTGCCATTTCCTGCTCAGCACTTCAGCATCTGGTCTGCACAGCCTGATGATGCCCTCTCTTTTCAACTTTTAAGACTTGTGTGTTTTGTAAAGGCCTTACTGTATGTAAATTAGTTGTCAATTTAAAAATAAAATACCAAGACAAGTAAGGAGAAGTATTTTTCAAATGCCTATTGGGGCCAAAGCCGCGACTATTTTGAAAGTGTCCTATTCTTCCATGTACTCTCTTTTCTTTCTTTCCTTCCCTTTTTCCCTTCCTTGTCTCCTTTTTAGAACAGTGAACACTCCCAAATCTAGCAAGTACTAGCAGGTATTTCTGTACCATCACTTTTCGAAAACTATAAATTAATCTTACAGGATTTGAAGGTTTTTGCTGTTTGTGTCCCAAAATACAATTAGCTTCTAGTGAATTCTTATCCTTTGGTGTCAACTAGGGAAACATTTCAGGGACATAAATATTGTGAACCAGGTGACATGCCACCATCCCACAATGGGTCTCACTGCCTAAGAGAATGGGCCAGTCATGGTAGGGGTAAGACAAGGATTTCATTCTATGACCCTGCTAATGGGCCAGAAATAGTCCCATTTTCTTAGTTATTTGAGGACTGAGAACTTCTCAAGACTTAGTGAATCACATAAGGATGTTCAGATCAGAGTACAGTATTCAGACTTTCTGATTAAAACTGACTTTTAAAAGTGAGCAAAATGAATATTCTGCACTGACAGCTTTGCCTGCACTAATGGTTCAGGGAGAGTCACTGCACTAATGGTTCAGTGGATTTTTCTTCCTGGAAAGGGCCACAGGAATAGCCATGCCTTTACAGCGTTTGCATGTTGAGTGGATGTTCTTAGTTTTCCACCTAGTTTGACCCTAATAGGTTATATGGAAAATATAAAACCTCTGTGAACCTTGATTTTTCTGTGGAAAGGAGAGAGGAGGAAAGAGAAAAACATACCAATAGTATCAAATCAGCCTCAGATCTTCAGGGCAGACAGCACTAAAATACACAATATTACTAATGAGTAGCTGTAAATGGGGTTTGGGGGAGAACAGAAGGCTGATTTTGCTTTATCTGTAGGCCATATATTCTCACAATAATGACTTTAACTCTGGACTCCTAGGGGGCCATATTAACTAAGTAATGTTTCATAGAAATATGTAATTAACCTATCTGTGGAGGCTCTTTCCATGAATTATGGAAAGATCACAAAATATTGCCCTGGTTTTCTTGGGCGAGATTCCTGATACCCATCATAAATTCTTGGGAAAGCTGAGTCTAGAACTACTTTTCAAATTTTGGGTGTACACATATCTTTCAGGAGCAGTGTATCTATTATGGATGATCTTACACAAGCATTTTCTCTTCTGATCTTTGTTCTTATTAGCTAATTGTAAAATTCAATCAGGAACTGACAAAGGGGTTGAAACTCAAGTTTACTTGCTACTTGTTAGAATCTTTGAATTATTTGAGGTTTTAATCATCAGTATTGTATTAGTCCGTTCTCACACTGCTATAAAGAACTACCTGAGACTGGGTAATTTATGAATAAAAGAGATTTAATTGATTCACAGTTCTGCAGGCTGTATAGTAAGCATGGCTGGGAGGCCTCAGGAAACTTAAAATCATGGTGGAAGGCAAAGGGGAAACAAACACATCTTAACCATGGCAGACCAGGAGAGAGGGAGAGAGAGGAAGTGCCACACACTTTTAAACCATCAGATCTGGTGAAAACTCACTATCATGAAAACAGCAACCGGGAAGTCCACCCCCATGATTCAATCACTTCTCATCGGGCCTCTCCTCCAACACATGGGGATTACAATTCGAGATGAAATTTGCATGGGGACACACAGCCAAACCATATCAAGTGTTTCTGGCATTTTATACCACTCCATTCTACCCACCCACGCACCCCCCGCCTCCAAACACACACATATATTGTAGCTTAGATAATAAATAATTGAATTGTAGCTATACTCTTTTTTTTTTTTTTTTTTTTTTTTTTTGAGACCGAGTTTCGCTCTGTGGCCCGGGCTGGAGTGCAGTGGCCGGATCTCAGCTCACTGCAAGCTCCGCCTCCCGGGTTTATGCCATTCTCCTGCCTCAGCCTCCCGAGCAGCCGGGACTACAGGCGCCCGTCACCTCGCCCGGCTAGTTTTTTTTTTGTATTTTTTTTTTTTTTTAGTGGAGACAGGGTTTCACCGGTTTAGCCAGGATGGTCTCGATCTCCTGACCCCGCGATCCGCCCGTCTCGGCCTCCCAAAGTGCTGGGACCACAGGCTTGAGCCACCGCGCCCAGTAGCTATACTCTTATGCCATAAGATGTGTTTATTTAAGATGTCTCTTGGATTTTCAGTAAAGGAAAGTATCTGCATGTGGTCGCCAACTCTGAGACCACTAAAATTCCGAATCCTGCGAACAGCCTGTGATTCTTTGAGAAGGGAAAAGGATTAATCCCCTGGCCACAGGGCAAAGACAAAAACATCTGCATGCAGAAGTTGTATTAGATGTCACCTGACCATAACCTTATATCCTTGTTTGTGTCACCTGTGGTCTCTTCTTGTGGTCTCTTGGGTTTTCCTACTAAAAG